CCTTAGAACTATCTATCTTACATAGATCAAAAGGTGTGACAGGCTTGACAATGGAAGGGGATTTGGGGTTGGGGTCATCAACATCTTCTTCATCTTCATCTACGTTGTAGTCACCATACTCACTATCACTGTCACTACTATCTCCATTAACAGGGAACTTCATTTTGGAATAATCTGTGCAGTCTACCTTGTCAATTCCAGAGAACAGTTCCCAGTCCTGGCGGACTAACTTGTCGATTTTATTGACAACTTTACCCCATATTTCTGGGGTAACACTTTCAATAGCTGCATGCCATTTCTCTAAGCACTTTTCCTCGGTAAATTCTCCATATTCTAGAATATGCTTATCATAATGTCTTTTGAGAAGAGCCCATATTAACTCAATGGGATTGTACTGACAGTGGTATGGAGGCAGCCTTAAAACTATGTGACCTCTCTTTGCAGCTTCTTCATCTGCCAAATATCTACATTTTGAAATAACAAAAAGTAAATAGTAATTTTTCCAGAAATACACCAGTAACACCAGTAACACCAGTTTGAATAGAAACGGATCATGCAACTTAATATGAATACCTTATTGGCTGTCGGTGAAGTTTAGCCAAGGCATATAATTCAACCTTTAACATTGATTCCGTGAAACGCACATTGTGTCGTCTCAACCAATCCGCAATTTCATCTTTCCTCCAGCTACTGGTTGGTTGAGGATTCACCTAAAAATGCAGACAATAAAATATTCAAAGACTGCAAATATTCCATCAGGTCTTATAAACAGTAATTAATTAGATCCTGTACTTATTCTCATACACCAAGCTCACAAATAAATAAATGAATATTAATCAAGAGTAACAATATGACATACATCTTATGTTTCAATATTCTAGTTTAGAACAGTTGTACTATTTAGCTACTGATTAATGAGATGATTCCTCAATCACCAGTCAGTTTACTCCAATTCCATACACAACTACAACAATTATATTCGATAGCACATACCCAATAAAACGGTGCCTTTCCTTTCTCCTACAGTTGAAGATTAGATCAAGGGGGAACCAACTTGGAAATTTGGTGAACTGTGAATATATTCAAATATTCTATGTCACTGAATACCAGTGAATATCACTGAATACCAGTGAATATCACTGAATACCAGTGAATATCACTGAATACCAGTGAATATTCACTGTGATTGTTGATTAATGTCCTTGAATATTGATGAATATCGATGAATATCGATGAATATTTTGAATATCTTGTGAATATTCGCAAATATCACTTGAATACCTATTAGATATTAACCAGCGGGTGCACCGTGAATAGTCGAAGTTGATGCCCCCTCGGATTAGATCAAAATCAAAATCTGAAATGAAAACATATATATATGAAATGACATTCCATCACACAACACCCATGTTCACCTCCAAATGAATCAAAATGACATTATGTCAATGTGATCAGAAGTCAGATTCGAGATCACAAACAACATAAATGAAAAGGGAAGTCCCGTAGTAATATTTTGCAACTACCATGATGTAATGATGCTAAACAATCCTAACACACATGCAACAACGAGATCAGATCATTGAAATGTTAGTGTAATGATGCTAGGAATAAATGAAATTGTACCATTACACTACACATAAATAGATTGGAAAATAGATTGTGGTTGCCTGAATAGAATGGTAAGGTGCGTTGTCCATTACAATGACAGTTGGCTCTGTCAGTTTGTCCAATAATTTGTACCACCAGTTCATAAAATTCTGTCCGTTCATTTGGCCATGGTAGTCACCCTGAGAAGAGTCGGAAGCAAATACCAAAGAGGCTCCATCCACAAATCCATCTTCTCCACCAGCATGAAGTACAATGTAGCGCTTGCCTTGGTTTGTGGTCTTCAAGGGACTACTTCTGATATCAATGTCTTGCCAGGTTTTTTGTTTCTGGGAGCCTCTTTGAAAAATCCAGGTCTCATCCAAAAATACAAACTTGTACTTGCCTTGGAGCTCGTTGTAACGCCGCAGAAAGGCGATTTTTTTTAATACCACTGACGGTTTTTCACACACTACTCTGCGGCCATTCACTCTTGCATATTTGAAGCCCAGGTTACGAACTATTTTGCGGAGTGTTGAAAGTCCACCATGGTAGGCAATACTTCGCTGTCTAAATAGACAAGTGAGGGTTTTACTAACATTATAAGCAGCGAATACAATAAAATTCAAAGAAATTAACTACCTGATCAACTCCAACAACTCTTTAATGGTGACCAGTCGACCTAAAACAATAAAAATAATTATTTTACATTTTACATACTTCAGCACTCTCAGAAGTTTTGAGCAAATACATAGTTATAAACGTTATAGGCACCTACAAACAGAAACAAACCAAAATACTGACCAAAACTTTTTGTGAAGTGACATCTCCTGTGGCTACTTACCAGTCAGGGCAGTTTGATGAATTAAGTTCGTTATAGCTGCTTTAGTGAAATTGTCCACATTTCTAGCTTTCCATTGTTTATTTCGTGTTCTTTTTGGTGTGTGAAAGGGAATCCCACTTGCCATAGCCGTATCAATTTTTTGTTTGCAATCAGTCACCATCCTTTTGCTGATGTGCAAGGCTTGGGATACTCTCTCTCTAAATAAGGAAGAAAAACTCGGAGAGTTTAGTAATTGTGGTGACATTCCAACCAATTGTTACAATTTAATCAAATTTAATGGGTTCCTTCAAATAGAGGGAGAAGAGTCATTGCTTACCGGACTTTACAAACATCTATAAGAGGCCCTCCAAATTCTTTCTCTGAGAGAAAATATTGGTACAGGGAATAAATGGCCGTAACAAATTGTGTGTTGAAAGGTGTGCCTCGAAAGTTTTTCCTCAAGTACATAGGAGTTTCAGTTTTTAGTGGTTGCTTTGATGCTTTGCTCTTGGGAAGAGGAATTTCCTCTGCACTGTTCCTGTCAACATCAATTACCAGGCGATTGCCATTGTCACCGTCACCTGTTGCAGGTTGATTTAAGACTTCAATCAATGCTCTTTTTTTTTGGAACAGGAATTATGTCTACACTTTTTCTTTCAAAATTAGTAACCTTGCAATTGAATCCATTCTCACCTGACACAGGTTGATTGAAGACTTCAATTGAAGCTTCTTTTGGAAGAGGAATTGCAACAGAAGTTGAATGGTGAATGAGTTCATTGTGATCCTCCTGAAACAAATACAAAACTTCAGAAATTAATTAAATGTAACGAAATTCTGAGAATATTTATAAGAAGCTGAAGTATGACAAAGACTGAGCCGCTTGTATCTTGATAGTGCACGGTAAAGGAAAAGTTCCAACAATGTCCTACAACTATACAACTACTATTTGAATATAACATACCTTTCTTTCATCCAAGTCTGATTCAGAACTTGAGGACCAGTCATAAAACAGGATGTAAGCCTTAGCAGCATTATCTGTCTGACTCTTCAAGTCCATGCTGTCCACAGATACCTGAAAGGTAACACAAACACAAAACTGCAAGTTGAAACTAAACTATATTCATAAATATATTCATTTGAAGATGTCCATATCCTTACCAAACTATCATTGCACTTGAACCATGCAACATTATTGTTGTTAGAATCTGTTTGTGCTACCTTCGCGGTGTAATGGCCCGCGGAGGCTGTCACTCCTGTATGCAGTACCATTCCACACAATTCGTATTGCAGATTGTTGAACATTATCCTCTGATTTATTTCGATGCTGGCATCATCTCTACTTCCATCTGCTTTGAATCGAAGGAGTTGAACAACTAGCGTTTTTGGAGCACTGTCCAAAACAAATCTTCGGTCAAAGTCACACTGTTTGTGACAGGATTCACAAAGGACTTTAACTTGCATGCTGGACCATGCAAACAAAGAATTGATGGCGGCTTGGACAGAAGAATCCATCTGGAGTTGAATTTGAGTTGTTAAAGTGTAATTAGAAACAGAAACTTCGCCGCACGATGTACAACGTCCTGAATAATAATAGATTAGATTAATAATAATGAAACAACAAACAGTGTCTTGCACGTTGAGCACATTGATTAGATATAACGCCACCGAGACTTACTGTCACTTCTTTGATAAAAACCGAATTCCTCCCCTACAGCTACATTGTTCATGACTTGCAAAACTTGACAGAGAAATTCATGGGCGTCATGCTGGGCCCCATCAAAAAAAGACTCAGAACCGCGAAGAAATTTCGAAAATTTGAGATACGTAACAGATGGGTCCAAGGTTTCTCCTGTTTTTAAAATGTCCAATAGGTGGAAAATGCAGCATGCGAAGCAGTTACTTTTCATGCAAAGAACACTATGTTCAGTATGCTGCTTCAATATAGCAATGAAACCCCTCAAATGGAGTAGAGCCTGTACAGTAAAACCCAAATGATTAATACAAAATATTTTGTAATTTCATACAATTGTTGGCATATTAGATAAAGTTTAGTTTAGTGCACGACCTGTAAGGTTGAAGCCATGAAGCAGGTGTTTCCAATATTCCTTATGCCACCAGGTGCTGTGGTAAAGTTAGGTACCAGACTGCTTCTTGGTTGTGGCACAGGGTGATCACTAATTAGTGGGCTACTGCTTGTTACTGCCAAACGATTTTCACTATTGGAGCGCAGTGGTGTAATAGACTCGAAAGAATTATGTTCTGGTCCAGGCTCAAAAGTGTCAAGTTCTGTTTAAAATTAAAATATATACGTTAGTCTATGTAGTGCTTAAATAATAACTACAATACAGTACAGTTCAGTTCTTTCCATCATGTGAAAAGCAATAAATGAAAAAGATGAAGAAAATAAACCAAAAAAAATAGAGAAACAACACAAATGACAGCGTTAACATACCATCTTTTTCATCTCTGAAAACAACTTTCTTCTCAACATTTCCAGTTGAAAGAGATGACTTCAAATTGCTTTGAACAATAGATTGACTTGTATTTATTTGACTAATACTCTGTCCAAATTTAGCAACATTTGCCAGCAGTTCTGCTGTGGTGAGAGAAGTATGAGACCGTAAACTATTTGGATTCACAGAAGTATTTTCCATTAAATCATTCACGTCGGATTCTAATTCTGATGTAGATTCTACATGCAATGACATAAATGATGGCTTTCTGATCCTGGAAAAGGTTAAAATACAATAAGCAAGTATGTTTTTAAATATCATTGATCACTTTAGAAGTTCGTGAAAGGATTATGTGAAAGTTTACCCAATCTGTGACGGTTGAGAACTTGATTTGTTCGGTGTTGATGCCTGCAGAATTGGGGTTTTCTGAACAGATGAATCAGATGGTGAAGATTCTTTCTTCTCAACTTCAATTTCTGATTGATTTGAGTTGGCATACATTGATTGACTGTACACTTTAACATTGCTTGTGATTCCTGATGTACTGGGCAATGGTTTCAGATCAGAATTTTCATGAGTAAGATTAACATTTCCTGCAGCCTTCCTCCGGTCATCTGGTAAACCAAGAAAATATAATAAATCATGGAATTGTATTTCACAGAGTGCCAAAATCCAACACTAAACGTCAACATACCCAACTACTACACTAGCAGAATATCTTGTGCTCAACTTTTCACAACTGGAAAATAATTGTCACATAGATATTACCATGATGACAAATGTATCATCATACAATACCAGAGTTATACTGATTCAAACACCTTACTGCAGATGCAAGATTTTCCAAACTAATGGTATACCTCTCTTTCTCTGTTTCCTCCAGTTGCCAGTTCTAACATCGAGTTTGCTCTTCCTCCTTTTCTTTCTTGTATAAAATGATGGCATCTTCTTTTTTTCGACCAAATTGAATTGAGATTTAAGTATCCACGTAGAAAAGGCTAGAGAGATTAAATCAGTGAAACACCGTTAAAATCTTGTACTGTACAGTATGGAAATTCTAGGAAAAATAAATGGTTCAAAATTGTGAGATGACATTCTCAAATAAATGAATTTACATTGATGGAGGGTTTGCAGGTTGAGTTGAAAAGTTATCAAGGGAGGTTATAGGTCGCTAACGGCAGTCAGTCGTGATGAGGTAAAAACCAAATGAAACCGATGACATTAACACATGTGGTACCAAGGAACTTCTAATTGACAGATGCAAAGCACTGTGTAGACCAATTTTCTTGACATACCGTAAACTTGGCTAGAATTGGCTAAAACATTAGGCTCTTTTGGCACACGCCGGTCCTTGTGGAGCGGGACTACTTTCAACCCCCACTCCTCTCCCGAAGTTACTCCTTATAGTGAGGCGACTGTACTCCAGGCTGCAGCGCGGCGGGCGCGGCTCGTGGACGGCGGGAAGGTGCACGAGAGGGAGAGGAGAGAGAGGAGCGGGGGAAGGCAGGAAGGTACCTTCCCCCCCCCCCCTCTTCCACCGACCCACCTGTCCCTCCCCCTTTACTCCTTTCCGGGCGGCCTCGTCCAGTGCACCTTGGACACATCTTTTCCTCTCTTTGTCTTCTGTAGGTATCCAGCAGGGAATATCGGCTATGTGTATTGTATTTATTGTCTCCAGCCATAGCCTCTGGGGACAAGGAGATGCAAAGATTGGAAATGCACATCAGCCATCAGCTAACAAACTTTTGGGACAAATGAATGGCGAACCCGCAAATTGAATATTTCCTATTAGGTTTCGCATACAGTGTCCGACCCGACCCTCTGGTTCTTCAGAGGGGGGGGGGGGGGTTCTCGCAAGAATCGTACGCAGACGTTGGCTGTTGACTGGCGGTCTGCTTCGAGTTGATACCTCGTGGCGATACCCCGTACTACGAACGAGGTGTATTTATCCGGTCCACGGGTGAAGGGGTATCGGCGCGCATAGGGCCCCGACATTGTAGTGCACCCGACACTCGCGTGTATTGTCCGCTGTGCGGCAGAGTACGGCATGTTGAAGCGAGGGGGCGCACTGCAGCTCTCTGGAGTGGGTTGAGTGGGTCACAGCGGCGGCGCTCCGCTACGCTCCGCCGGTGGATCCCGCTGCGCGCCCCCTCCCCCCTTGCGGGCCAACCCTCTTGTGACGATCGCGGGATGGGCGTGTCTGGTGTGGGGGCTCCTGGACCACGGGCGGCCGACCCCTTGTCAGATCAATACGGTGCTGTTGTGCAGCGGCATGGCGGCGAGCAGGAGAAGCAGGGCGCCCGCGCCGTTGGCGTGGCCGCGCGTCCATACCCGCGCCGAGCCCCCTCCGGGAGGAGGAGGAGTCCACGACCCTCTCCCCGCGGACCCCAACTTTTATGGTCCTTCCCCCATGGCGCCCATGGCGGGCGGGCGCGCACTTCGGCCGCGTCACGTCCACTTCGGCCGCCATGTCCGTTTTACTGCCGCGGGGGCTTTTCCGCGAAGGCATTCCATCCCAGCCCAGGGACACACAGGGGCTCGGGTGACCGCCCGACCGAACGCCCGACCACCGTCATCATGCTCATGGCAGTGCGACGCAGCCCGCCCAGCCCGGGCCCGTGGCGCTCGCGGCCATACCCCGCGCCAGAGCCCGCATGCCCCACATTGAACGCGCCGACACCCCGCGCCCGAGGGCCTGGCAGCCGGGTGGCGCGCTCTGGCGGTCCCGCACGGCCCCCCCTCCCTGGCAAGCTGTAGCTGTAAGTGGGCGGCCTGCCACACTGCGTGCAAGCTCAGCGGCAGCCCGTGTGCTCGCCCACCTAGTCCTCACACGAATTATTTGAACGCCTGATTCTCACTGACCTGTCTTACATAATTCCTACTCCGCTGTGGTGGCTCTACTCACAACCTTCATCCATCGTCGCCACTATGGCGAGATTTTCCCGTAATTTTGCGCCCTTCTCCGTACCCAGTTGTTTCGTGGTCCGCGAGCGCCTGGGCCCCTTCAGGATAGGCACGCGGGTCAACCAATCGAGTGCAGCGGGCTTGCCTACTCGCACGGCGCTTGGCTGCGGCCGATTGTTTGGGATGCGATGCTTCGGATGCGGATGTCAGCAGCAGGAGTAAGGTGTAGTCTAGATAGGTGGCCGCAATCCACTCCCCATCACCCAATGACAGGTCAGCTCGAAGAAGGGTTAGAGCGAGGCCCGTGCCCGGGACTCCAGACGAGCCCGACTCAGTTTTCTTAAAAATTCTACAATGCTAGGTTTAGTGTGAAAGTGTAGACTTTGAATGTTGTGGCCGATATTTAAGGGAGCATGCTAGTGTAGCGAGCCTAAAATAGAAGTGATTTGCGTAATTAATTTTAGAGAATCCATAGTTTGTAGAACAAAACCGAGTATACCGTTAAGTAGCGCATAGCGCATGGTTGGCAGGTTGGTAGTACAGCTTGACATTGTAATCGTAATACTAGAAAGTAACTAGAAACAGGTGTCCCCCCAGCTTATATGAGATCGTGCACAAGGTACGTCCTATTTTCTCACACTCATTCAGCAAAGACGGAACCCTGGCGCCCGCGAGACTAAGGGTAGGCCACCCCGCAGGACACGCATGCACTGCGGGCAAGATGTTGCCTACCTCTCAGGCGATACGGGAGCGGGCATCGGCCGAACCACTGAACTTGCCAGTTTCGGAACGATGACGGGGCGTGCTTTTTAGGTGATCTTCAACAACTATTTAGTCGTGACACTCAAAACAGCGGGTGACCCGGGATCACCCGCAGGAACGTTGGAGGATAGAGGGGCGTTAAACTTGACGGTACGGTTTCGAAACTTGTCTGGTTCATACCCTACGCCTTTCAGCGTGACGTAGTGGCGGTTGCGGCAAATTGTCCTATCGCCAGAGTGGTCAGTTGTGGACGAGAGAAAATTAATAGTTCAGGGAACTAATATCCTTTTTTCCGTGTAAAGCTGCGTAGCATATTGTTGAACACAAGTTACTCGTGTTCTTTTGAACCTGTGATTGTTTTGCATGACATGATATTATAAAGTCCACATTGAGGCTACTATTTGTTGTTTTAGTTGTATCCCCATCAATAAAATGTTTTTTTCTTCTTTCACCCATTTTCCACCGCCGGTCCCATCCCGAATGGACTCCCACCGCCTCCACCCCGCAGCTGTCAGCTGGCGCCCTGGCCGCCTCGCCTGCTTTCGACGAGACGCGTCGCGACGGCTCGGGTGTGGCGGCGCGGTGGCGGCGGGGGCGGGGCGG